CCCTTTCTCCCCTTTCTCCCTTCCCCCTTTCTCCACTTCCTCCCCTTCCTCCTCTTCCTCCCCTTCCTTCCCTTCCTCCCTTCCTCTCCTTCCTCCCCTTCTTCCCTTCCTCTCCTTCCTCCCCTTCCTCCCTTCCTCCCCTTCCTCTCCTTCCTCCTTTCCTCCCTTCCTCCCTTTCTCCCTTTCCTCCCCTTTCTTCCCTTCCTCCCCTTCCTTCCCTTCCTCCCCTTCCTTCCCTTCCTCTCCTTCCTCCCTTCCTCCCTTTCTCTCTTTCTCCCTTTCCTCCTCTTCCTTCCCTTTCTCCCCTTCCTCCCTTCCTCTTTTCCTCCCATTTCTTCCCTTCCTCCCCTTCGTCCCTTCCTCTTTTCCTCCCCTTCCTCTCTTCCTCCCTTCCTCTTTTTCTCCCCTTTCTCCCTTCCTCCCCTTCCTCCCTTCCTCCCTTTTCTCCCTTCCATTCTTCCTCCCTTCCTCCCCTCCCCTTCCTTCTCTTCCTCCTCTTCTTTCCCATTTCCCCTTCCTCCCTTTTTCCCCATCCTCTTCCTCCCTTCCTCCCCTTCCTTCCTTCCTCCCTTTCTTCCCTTTCCTCCCTTTTTCACTTCCTCCCCTTTCTCCTTTCCTCCCTTCCTCCCCTTCCTTCCTTCCTCCCTTCCTCCCTTCTTTCTTCCTCCCCATCCCCCCTTTTCTCCCTTCCTCCTCTTCCTCCCCTTCCTCCCTCCCTTCCTCCTCTTCCTCCCCTTCCTCCTTTCCTCCCTTCCTCTTTTCCTCCCTTATCCAAGATAGTTTTATATTTGCAGTGAATATAGGCCTTACCCACCCTCTGCCGCTTGTCCTCTTCCTGCTTCCCTTGATGATTCGGTCTTATGGAGACTCACACTGCCCAGCACATCCCACCTTGATGACCGCTTATGCCAGCTTTGCCCTTGTCCCTTCTGAGTTGCCCAGGATCCCTCACATCTTTGTCTCCTGAGCTCCACTCTGGGGCCCCTCTGTCCCCTTGTTAGGATGACCTACCTTGTGAGCCCTGGAGTCCTGCAGGCACCCTCTCGTCTGTGGGCTTTTTGCTGTGAGGTGGAGGTAGCTCTGGGGGGACTTCATCCTCTTCCACATCTGGACAGCCTTGGCCTTCCTTGCCTGGCCAGCCATCTGCCAGTGTCCCTCTGTATGGCGGCCTTCTTCTGCCCTCACAGGCAGGAAGGACAGCTAGTGGGTGTGCCGGAGGGAGGGCCGATGCGCACCCCTTTGGCATCAGCCACCGCAGGTCCTGAGGCTCAGGTTCTGATGCCAGCTCCTCTCTCCTTTAGAAGTGCCTGAACCAGATCCATCCTACAGCCACCATGAGCCCCCCTGTCTGTGTCCTTGAGGGAGGACGGCCAGCTGGAGGGTTCAGGGGTGCTCAAGTCAGCGTGGCCCTGGCCCCTCCCTCCCCATGTCTACAGCTGCCCCATTCTGTCCCCCACGTTCCTGCACCCATGTTCACAGCCAGCAGCACTCAGCTGGGTCTGTAGCCAGACCCCTGAGGCCAGGGCAGCTGCCTCACCAGCCGATCTGCGTCTCCCCCGTCGCCAGGCTCCCACCTCTTCATGGTTCCGGCGTTGGGGCTCCTGGTGTGCATCCCCTGGGTGCACATCCTCCGGCCTCAGCAGGCGCGCTGAGGCCCCAAGGCTGCTTCTGCACCTCTCCTGGCTGGTTACCTGGTGGAGCCTCGCCTCTCACCACGACCCTGCTGGCTGTGTCCTCGGCCTCATGCAGCCGGGAGTCACCTGGCCAACGGCCAACTTGATTCTGGCCTGGCCTCTAGTTCTGGATGTCGGGTCTGACCTCCCAGGTGTTGGGGCTCAGAGGCTGCAGGAAGGAGCCAGCAACGGGCCCGACCTTCTACCCTCATCTGTCCTTCCCTCTGTCTCTCCTCCAGGAGGAAGAGAGCCTCCGGATCCTGGTGGGGACAGAAGGGGAGAGCTTCCCCTTGGAGGAAATGGGCACATGTGAGGTGGGAACCTTTGGACTTTCCAGGCTGGGTCCCACCTGCTCCTCATCGTCCCCGCGTCACACACCTGCCCTGTCCCTGGCCCCCTCTCTCTCTGACCCTCACCTGCCCTCTCCCTGGCCCCCTCCCTCTCTGTCCCTCACCTGCCCCATCCTCTCCTGGCCCCCTCCCTCTC